AAATAGCCCTTGTGACTAGTATGTGGTTAGTCAGTATGTATGGCGAGCTTAAGATATTAAGTGAGAAGAACTCTGAGTCAGACTGACCTTCTGTCCAGGGCTACATTTAGTAATAGATGTAGGAAAATATCGGGCTTCTCGAAACTGTCCTCGGACAGTACCCTATACGTCAAGGTAGCCGAAAGGCGAGGTATTCTTCTTCTTCTTATATCCGATAGGTCCGCTCTCCGTATTAGTTTTACACTTGATTCATTGATTATTCAAGTTAATCTCACTATTCGAATCATGTACTTTGTACTTGCACTTCTAATCTTTATCATTGGTAGCATAACCAATTATGCAGGTATGATTACTTTCAAACGACCAAAACTACGAAAATCGAGTATAGGAATTTATATTCTCTTGGTTTTAATCATTAACGCATCTTCATTATTTTCATTGATTATGAAACTATTTATCATTCTTTTCCATTCATCAATGAATGATATTTCTTGTAAGATAACATCTTACATGTTATCTATATCGATTCGATGTTCGTTTTGGTTAACAAGTTTGATTGCTATTGAGAGAGTCTCCTATTTATTATTTCCATTTGCTATTGTTCTTAAAAAATCATCTATCGCTCGGATAATCAGTTTAGCTATGTTATTGATCGTTTGTATAATGCATATTCATGAACTGATCTTTTATATGAAACTAACGGATCAAAGTGGACGAACATTATGTGTTATTGATTTCCCTATTCGAATACGAACATATGATCGTATTACTGTTCTATTTCATTACTTAATTCCATTTTGTATTCAAATATTGTCCATAACGATTCTAATCATTCTGTCAGCACGGAATCGTTCTCGTTTTGGTAACAGTCATGATACATTTATGGAATATCTTAAACGGCAATTTCGACGTCAAAAAGAATTGTATATTCCACCATCTGTTATTGTACTAAGTGGTTTACCACAAGTTATTTTTTCGTTTAGTTTTGCATGTCGTCAACTGGTTACATGGCAACAACATGTGTTACTAATCGCATATTTTATATCTTTTACACCTCAATTACTCGGTTTCATCATCTATGTATTACCATCAACTAATTATATGAAAGAATTTCAAACAACGAAATTATCAAAAACACATATCTTTCAATTGATATTATGGAAGAAAAAAAATCGAACAAGAAAATAACTATCTTAAAGTGTAAAGTGTGAGTGTGGATATAGTTCTGCATCATTATATAAGAGGAACAAGGCTATTCACACTCACATCCTTTCAATTGTTTCTACTATAAAGTGCTGCTCCAAGCTTTTTTTCTTCAAAATTAACATCCACAATACTTTTCTAAATAATTATTTATACATTATTTTTCAAAGACTTTTCAAAACAAATAAATACATTACTCGAGAAATATCTATATTAGACAGCTCATTTTTATGTGTTAAACAAAAAAGATTTTTCTAATAATCAACTAAGAACATAATTAGAGAGAAAAAAAAGTGATTTCTAGAAAAACTTTTGTCAAGAATAAAAATTTATTATAGAAGTGTAGTATTTTATAAGAGATAAAAGTATATTTGAATAATAATTAGAATGCAGTAAAAACGAAAGATATAAATATTGAAATTTCTAAACAAGTTGGAAATTTTTGAGGAAGTCATATCTTTTTAACC